TAAAACAGCCACCATACAAACAGAAATGCATTGGCATATGGCATTTTTAGGCAAAAATTATTTGTTTCCCTTAATGCTTTATATAGTAACTTCCATGGCAATATATTAATTTCTTGTAAAATGTGAAACATTGAGAACAGAAGTTACTTAAAACAGTAATAGGTTCAGAGGAGGCAGAGAGGGAGGGGGAAAGAAAAAGAAAAAAGAAAGGTACAATATTTTCCTTTTCTTCTCCCCCTTTCCTTTGTAAATTTTAATTTTAGAATTTTTTTTGTGTTTTGCTTTTTCAGTAAGGCCAAAGTATGGGGGCAGTGACTTTTCTTGGTGCTGGAAGTGACAGATTCGCTCTGCTCTCGGTTCCAGCCGGGGTCCCCGAGCCCTCAGGACCCGTGCTCACTGTCCCAGAACTGCAATATCACTGCGGCGTTTCCTCCGCCTCGAAGGCCCTGGAGTGTGGAGCGGCACAGGACACCCAACAGCAGCTCTGCCCCTTCCCCTGGCCAAGAGAATTCCCACCTACCATCACCAGCCTGGCCACCCCAGTGCCAGGGGCGGCCACGGGGCCGCTGCGCTCCAGGACAAGCCAGCTCCCGTGGCTGCCTGCGCTGCCAGGCCCAGGAAAGCGCGGTCATGGCCAGGTGGCCAAGCCAAGGGGACAGTGGCCAGTGGGGCCTTTTGAGGTAGAGGTGCAGCTCTGGCCATTAGCCACAGCAGAGCCCTCACATCGAGCAGGACTAGGGAAGCCTCCCCCTCAGCAGCGTGCTACATCAGCGCTGTGGCGCTGAGAGCCACCCACCATTCCTCCTCTCGCAACTGCTGAGAATGGTCACAGCTGACTTCTGTCTTCTGCTAAATTATTAACTTGGCCATAAATACAGGCAAAAAGTTGCTCTGAGGTACTCATGTATGTTCTTAAGTGCAAAACGTCTCCGTATGATAACGCTTGAAAGAAATTTATTATTTTCATTGGCTTTTGGCTTACTCGATAAACACACTACCTCATTTTGTAGGATTTTTTATTACTATTATTATTACAATTCCATATTCCTATTCAGCTTGAAATAATGAATGCAAAATCAATACAATAAGTAACAAATGTATCCACGGTGACCAAACAACAAACTCAAAAGCACAGCACGGTGAGTGAAAATTAGCAGTTCTTAAAACAACTACATCACAATTCAGTTGTAATGTAAAAGAAAGGCTCATGAATTTAGAAGGGTTAACAATGAGTTTAGTTATTTGAAGGCTTAGCTCAAATAGTAAAATATACATAGTAGGATGTAAGATAAAGGTAGAATATCTTCTTGAAGTCTACAGATTTAAAGAGAGAGAGAAACATGATGACAAATTCCTGAATTTATCAACTTCTCTCTCGGATAGTTAAAAATCTCCCTTCACCCATTAACACTTGGTCTGTAACAATAATACTGTCAGAGGGTTAGGTCTTACTTTCCATGATAATTATTTTCAGTATTTACTTCAACCTTAATGCTGCACATATGCATTCCCATTATGCCACCTTACATCAGCAGCAATTAGATAAGAAGGCCCAGAAAAGCAAACCAGATGCGTACAAACATACAGAAATGCTTTTTTTTCTCCCCTTTCTCTAGTTGTGTGCCTCAATAGTTGCATGTATGGACTAAAAAAAAACCAAACCAACAAACCCCTCAAAAACACTACAGAATTCTTTATTAATATTTAAAGAAAAGTATATTTTTTTTTCTTTAGAAAAAATAAAATTCCAATATTGTCTATGTGATGGCTGTAGCAGTTTGAAATCAAAGTAGGTGCGCAATGTACGCAGTCAACCTTTCATCTGGCTCAGTGCAATACTGCTTTGTGCAGTAACAGGGACAGGTGAGATTACAGATGTTCTGGCTTCTCACTGACAGTGCAAGAAAATACCCAGAATAGCAAGAAAATAGCCAGAATAACACCAGGTAAACATTATCTCCCAGCTCATGCTTTCTTATGCAAAAGACAGGGACATTCATTTAGAACTCAATATTGAATGAAACTTCAGACTGAATACAGCAGAGAGAGAACCTGCCTAGCAGAAACTTTCAGCTCTGCTCTCAGAAGCGAAATTTCCTACAAAGCAGAGAGAAAGCACAATACAGATTTTTTCCATTTAAAAACCTGTGTTGCACCAGAAAATAAATAAGCATATGATACAGCAATTTTTATTTTTTCAAAGCAACACCAAAAAAGTTTGATCACCATTACATATTTCTGAAAATTATAGACAGGAAGAAAATTAAAAAATTAAATACAATGCAGCTAACATATACCTGATAACCTAACTCTATAACTTCAGGAAACTGCAACTTCTAATCCCACACAAGAAAAACTGATTCTTAAAAAAAAAATAAAAACAACCTAAAAAAAATCAACCCACCTTGAGCTTGTAATGCTCAAGTTAAAGGTAGAAAAATACTGGAAAGAAATAAATAGCAAATTAAACTGGCCTTTTTAATGTTGAAGAGATTTAATAAAATTACTCAAACCTAAAACCATAATGCTTGCCTATTCTTCCTCAGTCTTTTGAAAACGTAGTAAAGCTAAGACATTGAAAATTAATCTTTGAAAGGGATGCCGAACAGTTCTAACAACTCAATTTGTATATTTTTTTCTGCTAGGACAGTTTACATCTAAATCTATCGGCTTTCGTAATTGATGTAGTTCACTGTTTAAGACAAATCACATTCACATACACAAACAGTCTTTAATTTTATGAAAATAAGATAGTGCTTAGCATGGCACAAGGCATAGTACTTTTTTGACAGCACTGAGAATATTACAAAAGTTCTTCCCTTAAAGCTTGAAGTGAACTGATTCAATATTTAATGAAACTGAGAAAGCTGCTGAATGTCCCAGAAATCCTTACACTCCCTGCTCTCTGTTCATTCTAAGTATTATGCTGCTATAAATTAACAGTGAGACTAGATGAGATTTCAAGCAGTCAAGAATAGCATTTTTCTATCACTAAATTCTCTATTTTATTTTCCTTTGCTCTTTAACATCACTAACCTGCAGCATTCTATTGCAATCATACACCCCAGCTCAGTACTGCAGCGTTACATTGCTTAGACATAGCTGTACACTCCAGCATGTTTTTAGGGTATGCAGCCAGCTCAGCTGTAAGCCGAAGGAAGATTTCCATCAAGCAACAAAACTAAACTCTGCACAAATATTTAACAGCTCCAAGACCCCTAAAGGCTTAAAATAACATATATTTTGTGGCATGCTAGGAGCCAGTTCCACACTGGTGATGTGCACAGTGCAGAGTACTCGGCAATCGCAGCAAATTAAACATTGTTTCGCCTTTGTACCTTCGAATTCTTCAAACTAAAAGCTGAATGAAATACTGAGGTTCACTGTGCCTCCCCAGCACTGACAGTGCAGTAGAAGCTCGTCCATTACATTAAGTTCATCTAAAACTTCCCATGCCTCACAAGCATTTCTCATCCCCTCTTGGCAGATGAAACACAAGTTCATTTAAAACAAACCTAGCACAAGTTCATCTTATATTGCTTGCTTTTCAAACCGCTAGAACTACGCAGTAACCCACTCAAACAAAAAATTTCCCAGACAATGGAATCCTTTCAAACTGCACAGCCGGCAGGATTCCCCAGTTGTCAGTTTTAGGTGCGTGCCAGCACAAAATGTTCTTGAATCTGAAATCTGTAATAATCACTCCTATTGATAATGTGAGCAGAAGCAGAATTACATCACGGTTAACACTTACCAAAATACATTATGTTTCTCATTAATCATGCAGTCAGGATCCCACCGCTGTGTATTCAGCATTAGCTCCTGCACAGGGCTGACATGTAAAACAGAGCTTTTTCATTCTACATTATGTGGAAATTTCCCAGCACGAGAAGCGTGAGAGAGCAGTGTGCCTCCTCAGGATGAGCGCTTTGCAGGCAGTCTTATCCCTGATACAATCCCTGTCTGATTTAGCGTTTACTCCGGCTGCATGCTGCACTGCCCATTCTTACTGTAATCTGACTCCTCCTTCTGATGTCCTTGCTGTGCCTGTGACATCAGGACTAAGAGTACTACAAACAGATCTTTTCTTTAGCGGGCTTGCAACAACATGCTCTTATATCCTGGTTAACCTAACTCTGGTTTGGACAAAAAAACATAAGCCCTTCTAAAATTGTACAGGCTTTTTTTTTTTTTTTTTTTTTTTTTTTTCCCTTGGCAGTAAACGCGTTTAGTGACATAACGTGCTCAATTACATAATAGATGGGAAAGACAAAGCGTATATTGTTAGTGTATTTTTCTTTGAAGGGCAGGCTCCAGGAGAAGCTTTGAGTGCCTCAATAACCCTACTTCAATAGAAGATAAAGATGCCTGGCACTTTGCAAGATGATGTACCCCTAAGACTTTTCTTTCTTTTTTTTTAAAAAAAAATCAATAGTACCACTTCAATAAACAATTTCAATCCAAATATTGGATAAAGACAAGTCTGCTTCTATTTTTAAAAAGCAACTGGCAAATAGAGAGTTCAATTTCAATACAGCTGAACTGATTTTTTTTAAGCTACAATTTCTTCACCTGAATAACAAAGTGTGAGGACAGGAGATATATGACAATGAGGCTCTGTAATGGAGTTTACAACCTTTCACCCTCCAGGTCTCTAGTTGCTTTCTGGTCCAGGTTGATAAGTCATTAGCAGCTGGTAGGTATTTTATTGTTCTGTGGCAAATGGAGCGGTCCTAAGTTTGTTGTAAATATGTCCCTGCTGCTATATGAACTAGTAGCAGCTTCATAGGAAGAAAGACCAAAGAAACACCAAAATACTGTCCACCATGTACATGTAGTGCTTTGGGATGGATCCGACAGCACAGCAGTGTGGTGAAGACAATGCGGTCTGTATTTATGCACATATGTCTCTTCTCTGAATCAATAGGACATTGGTTTCCTGCTGTCAGTCTGGCATGTATCAGTGATAATACACTTACACTAAATAAAGGTAAAAAAATAATGGACAGTATGCTGAAGCGTTTATTTCATTATAATAGGATCTAATGGGATGAATGCTTTCATTCTACAGGAAAGAGGATGACAGGTATAATTCATTTAAAGCTCCACTTCTTATTTGTAAAACCACCACACAATAAGTACTATTTCATGAGGTCCAATCACTTGGGGCAAAATTATCACAGCAGCACAGCAGCCAAGGAACGCTCCAGTCGTGGCAGCAGAGGTAAGAGCCTGGTGTACAGCGCCGCTACGCATCTCTCGGCAAGAGCCCTCCGCAGCATTGCCCTCACGAGGTTTCTGTAGGCTACCTGTGTGAAAGTTACTGAGATTACACACTGACAGGGAACTGGGGCACCAGTTTCAGTCCTGTCCCTCACTGGCAGTCCCACAGCTATTAATTTCTGATACCTAGCTTTTCTCAGTGCCCTTCCTTATTTCAACTGCCCCTAGGAAGAGGCAAGCCCTGAAATGAGAGATCCATGGTGCACAAACTCCAAAATAAGGTTTGCTACACTACTGAAAGCATGCAGTGCAGCAGTGCATTCTGAGGCCACAGTGCACAAGGGAGGAAGAGGAAGATCAAAACTTATTGTGTGGGTCAAAGTGACCAACAACATAAGTTGAGCAAACCTTAAATCACAGTGAAGAAATGCTGTCCAAAAATTCCTGGAGAAAAGAAGAAAAAAGAAGCTGTCTAGAAATCATGGCCTATGTTTCAACTACACAGTGCAGACAGCAAGTAACAGAGGGTATTCACGGCACATTCCTTTCCTTTATTTCATCATTACAATGCTCATTCGCTTCTACAGTACAAGGAAGCACACCTCGCTATAGGAGAAAATACCGTCCTCAAAGACTGGTTTAAAATATCTCAGTTGAAACACTCTAATGTTCTCTGAGCAGTAGGTATAAGCTACTATCAGGAGCCTTCTGCAGCACAAGCATTCCCTCCTCTCCCTTCACAGAGGGTAAAAGCTCAGAGAATCAATTCTCTGTGAAATCCTTCAGCTCCATTTCCATCTCTGAAGTGCTTTTGCAGAGGCACTGCGTGACGTCCTTTAAGACAGTCTGCACCCAGGCACAGCATTTGCCTGTTAAGCTGCGTTTACCCTATCACAGAACAAAAGGCTTGGGGTTATTCTGCCAGAAGTCAAACTCTGCAAGATGTAGTCAAACTCTGGTCTCAACGTTCCACCAAGCCAATACGCCTCCTGATTCAGGGTATGGGTACAGAAGGCTCATGTCTGTGTAGATGTGTGATTAGTGCTCAGGCAAGCACCATGCTGCCTTTAAATACCCCTTCTTGAAATGGCTGTTGTGTTACAATACCTCTACCAGTTTATTGGTGTCTGATCCTCAGGAAATGTAAACACCAAAGTGCCACATGTTCTGACTGACATGTTCTCCACTACATGGTTCTGAACGTTACCTCCACTTTTGTTTTGCCTGGTAGGATGTAAAACAAGGATGACCTTTCTCCTTATTATATTTGTTTGTGTTCTGAGAGTAAGTATACAACTAAATTAACCAAAGAAACTGAAACAAGAACTTTAATTTCATTTGAACTACAGAAATGCAAGGTAGGAGGGAAAATCAGTGGAAAGCTTTCACAGCCCAAATTCACATACTCCATGACAAACTCTGCTTTCACTTACACACATAGAACAGTAATAAGCTGCAAAAAGAAGTAGTGTTTCAAGCAAGGAACAAAAAATAGATTTTATTCCTCAGTGGGATATTGTCACTGTCAGTGAAAGCAAGGTTTAGTTTAGTAATTGCAATCCCAAATGGCTGGTGTTTTAATGCAAGCATTGAGGATTCTGCTGAAAACAGCTGTAGGGAAGTACAGTCAGGAGCAGCAAACACTTATGTGTGCCTGGAGATTTGAGTAGACCCAGCCTGGGCATGCAGGATCATGCAGAATGAATGAGCAAATTAGTCCATGATGTCAGCCCATGGTGTGAACTCCCAATCACCAGCAAGCCGGCACAGGCTAACCAGCATTTAACTTTGCTACAGATACTGGTCAACTGCAAAATTATCATATTTTCATGCATGGTTCACTTATAAAAACAAAACCCCCAAACCCTTGTGATTCAACAATAGCATAAACATAAGAAGAAAAAATTACCCTCTCCTAAACCAGCTAGCCCTTATCCTTATTTCTAATAATAGAAACAACTTCTACTCCCTGAAATCCTCTTTTCCAACAGCCTCTTTTTTTCATAATAACATCTCCACCTTGAGATTCTTCTACCCTTTCTCACCTTGGTAAAAGCTTTGCCACAAAGGGGAGATTTTCAAAATGCAGAACAACCCACAGGACATCAGCTCCTTGGAACAGACAAAAAACAGATAGCACACATGGCCCAGGAGTACAGCACATCCCCTACATTCCTCCAGACCTGGAAAAGCTACAGATTATTCCCCACACCTGACTTGGTCTAGAGCCAGAGGGCCACTTCATGATCTAGCTCCTCTGTTCTGTGCCTTCTACTGATTTTTATCTATCCACTGATTTACACAATGCCTCCACAGTAAGTATTAAAGCCACTCACAGGCAAGTCTGTTGCAGAGACTAATTAATATTTCATATTAATGCACCCATTTAATTCCCTAGGATTCCTGGAAAACCCTCTTCCAGTCTTGAACTCTTCCAGGAGGCAAGTGACACTAGATTTATACCCAAACTCTTACCAATTGGCTTTGATGAACGTCAGTTAGTGAGGCTGACCAAAGATCATCTCTTGCAAATGCAGAAGCAGATTGAGGAACTCTTTGTTGGCAGAGGTGTCATAATAGTCAACAAATACACTCAGTGATAAAACATTTTAAGTCTATCATCATGTGCAGTAAGCTAAAAGATCTCATACAGATTTTCCTAAAATAAATTTTGTCTACTGTACAGAGACAGCTATTAAGAAAAAAAAATAAATTGTGGAAACATTAATTTCTGAAAATAAAATGGAAGAAACAATCCAAGTCACACTTGGCCTATTAATTCATCAAATGCATCCCAGAACTAAAAGATACTTGAAAGTAAAGTGGGTCTAGAATTTCCACATAAATTGGAAATTCATGCATTGAAGTTATTTCATTCCTATTAGTGACCACAGTGTAGAAAAAAGTACAGCAAACAAGCCACAGTTTTGTAAGCCTCCAAAAGTAATTGAAAATGTTTCCAAGTGCACATATTTTTGTGCCTCAAATCAAATATACTAAGTACATCAGCAAGAATTTTGGTTTGTTTTTATTTTGAAGCCATCTGGAGCAGTTTAAGATATACTACATAATAATGCAGATTTTGTGATTCATTACTAATCTCCTGAGGTTACACTGAAGGATAAGAAGGGAAGGAGCAAGTTACATTTGTATATTTTAAACAACCACAGAGGCTCATCTTTGGTTTTGACATTCTTCACGGGCTTAAACTACCAAATGTGTTTTTTACCCTTGAATCAGAAGTGTCAGTTCTGGAAATGTGCAATATTTGTCACCATGAATACCATTTAACTGCAGCAGTACCCGAAGGAACTCTGTACCACAACACGTGAATACAACTGGAGGAACTTAATTAATCTTCCTGTCACTTCCATGATGCTTTTCATTAGTTTAGCTGCTATCTGATCAACTGCTCCTTTCTCTATTGGAAATGGCTAACCAGAACCTCCTATAATAGCATTTTCAAGGCTTACCTTTGATTCTGAGAGCTTTTACAAAGCTTTGCCAAGCAAACTTTATCAAATCAGTAACATACTTACAGCACTGCTCTTTTTAAGGATTTTCTACATACACAGCTTAAGAAATATAAATAGAACAATATGCTCTTTTTCTAAGCTTAAAGCTAGTACTTCTGGTATTTTTTTAGTTTGAGCACAGATAACATGTAGCAATTTTAAGGTCATATTCTTCTGAATTTCCTTCCCATTGACATGGATAGTTATTAAACAAAAAAGCAGAATGTGGCCAGCATAAAACCAAACACACATTTTATTTAGGCACCGTTGCTGCTAATTCTTTCCCTAAATGCCCACTCCTGTCATCTTCTGCTCCTAAGCATGGGACAAGATTTAAGTTAATAAATGTGAATGAATACACAACTGGTGCAGAACCTTCTTTGACTATGTATATGAATAACAATTTTAAATAGAAATACAGTCTTAAATGCAAACAAGACTGAGAAGCTTGTCTGAATGCATGTCAAATATATTTTCAAACATACCCACACACAAAATGTAATTTTTTTCACTCAAAAATGAAAACTGGAATTGATGGATTGACACAATGTCCAACATGCATAATCCTTCCTTTCTCCCTCTTCCCTTTTTATTTCTGTACTGTTTTCAGTACAATTTCTCTAACGTGTGGGGTTTGAGCATATCACAAGCAGACAATTTGTCACTACCTCTTGTGAGGTGGATGATTAATCAATGTTTCACTTTGTCCATCTTTCCAAAGCTCTCTAAAATTTTGAAACAAGGTATAGACTCATCACTGGATCCAGACTTTGTAGTCTCACAGTTTAAAAATTTAAATTTATAAATTCAGATGTTGTACTAAAAAATTGTGTATAGTTTTCACACTTGGAATTTTTTTTGGTTTTGCACTCTGATTTACAGGATGCATCCATTAGGAATGTATGCATTTTGTATTTCTGATTACACCATCAATTGGCCACAATGATGCACTTCTGTTATTTATTATAATCATTTTTATCAATGAACTTATAAGCCGTAAGTAAAAAAACAGATAGTACACAATAAAATATAAATACATAAAATAAATAAAATAAATAAAGTAAAATATATTCTGCCTGCTTAAACTGTGTTAGATTAAAATAACAATTTATTACATTATTAATTAGAGATCACCTAATTTTGTTTAAAATTATAACAGAGCAATTATTGCACAGGTATCAGCCTATGTTTTAAGGTGAAAATGTTTGTTTGGATTTTGTTTGGGGTTTTTTTTTGGCGGGGTGGTGGATTGTTGGGTGGGGTTTTTTGTTGCTTGTTTGGTTTTGAGTTGTTGGGTGGGTTTTTTTTTCTCCCTTCAACAAGGTGCATCAAAGAGCTGGAGATTCCCTCAACAGATCATTTAGGAGTCTTGTGTGAAAATTGTCCAGGAATATTGATTTTAAATAGTCTTTAGTCCAAGCAGCTGCTGCTTTACATCTTCCTTTCTTTCCTCCAGGCCTTTTGGAAAGTGCCTGAGCACACTCATTATATGGAGACTGCATCAAGCATTTTTCAAATATGGATACAGGATAAAAATATTTTTTTACCACTTATGGTGCTTTCAAATCACTCGTAACAATCTTACTATCTCCATCTAGTGGCTTATAGGATTAGGACTTTTGGTATTAATACACTAAAACCTTTTTATTATCCTTTGCTTTGCCAACCACAGAGTTTTCATTTCCTGTTTCCGGCTTTCCCTATAAATTTTACATACTTCTTACTTCTAATTTATATTGATTAGTATTTGATTCCTCTTTTGCAATTTTGTTCCAAGTTGTATTTTAATTTCTAGTTGCTCTGCTCATTTTGTGGCTGAACCAGGAAAGACTTTTAGTTAAAGTTTGTCATTTTTTGAACATGAAACAATTTTTTTAGTCATCTAGTGACCTCTAGTTATCTAAGACAGCATCAATTTTCCTCCCAAGGCTTTTTTAACTCTTTTTCCCAAACATTTCTGCTTCTAACTTTCCTGTAAGAAATAAAATATCTTGAAACACAAAATCTGTAACTGATTTTATTTAAATTCTGTTTGCTCCTACAGCATATTAAAAAAAAATCTTTTCCATACCCATAGGTACCTAAATGGAAGTATTTCAAGATACAAACCCAAAAAAACCCATTCCTTCATTTTTTGATACTGTATATAGCTGTTCAAAGAAGAAAAGGAAAAAAACAAAAGCATGATATTAGGTTTCCGAGTGATTATGAGGGCACTGAGCTGTGGTTTAAGTATTTAACTGCAAGAGGAAAATTCCAGCATGTGAATGGGTGCAAAGCTGTTTGATTTTTATACTGGACTATCAGTGGGAGGAAGTGAAGACCTACAGCCAGGAAGGGACACAAACACTGCCAGCTGCACAAAATTACAACTTCTCTCCTGCTCTGGGGAGCTGAAATACTTTGCAGCAGCGCCCAAAGTGATTGCCAGGTGCCAGCACCACACTGGAAATTAAGAAGAGGCAGGAGTTTGAGGCATGTCCTGCTTTAACTACCTTAAGAGACAGCACCTTAACTAAAGTAGGCAGTGCTACAGATGCCTCGTGAGGCAACTCATCCCATGATAAACTGTAATCTGAGAGGAAGAAATTTCATTTCCAGTGGTAAAGAAGCAGTTAAACTAATTTCATGGAAAACATTATTGCTGCATTTGAATTCCTCTTTTACATTCAAGGAAAAGCTGTTTTAGCTAAAACTATCAAAGGAAATGCAAGTCATAGGTGAGTAATGTGCAGTCTCTCAGAAAGCACTGTGCAAAAAGGGAAGAAGACACAATGGCAGCAGGCAAGACACTAATTTGAGGCTATAAAAGGATGCAAGTTATAGCACAGTATTCAACTTTCTATGAGACTGTTATTAAAAATCTGTATTGGATTTATTCACACCAGCATCGAATTTGATAGACCTGTCCAGGTGTAAGCATTTTGTAATTCCACACGTGCAAGTTCCACAGCAGATTGCAAGAAACAAACTGTCACAAATATCTTGCTGTAAGTGGGGTTTGATTCAGACAGAGGCACTTCAGGTTTTATGTGTCTATTTGGGTGCCCACCTGCAATCTGGACATCTAATTTCCCACCACAGTCAAAGCAGATCAAACTGATGTAGTCAACTCAGAAGAGTTACTTATCACAACTGGAAATAGGAAGCAGCTTTGGGTGGCCAAGCAGCTCTCCAAGCTCCATGAACTACATTGGCTGGAGTTTCACCAACCCAACGGGGAGCTTAGGCACCTAACTCACTCCTGGGTACCTACAGACACACACACACACATGTACACATACACACTCTGCCACCTGAATCCCAGCCAAGGCTTCCACATCCCCTAAACAATCTGGGACCCTGCAGATTACCCCCATACCTATTCAAATTTAGCTTCATTTGGGATCATCACAGCAACTACCAACTGCGCTCAGCAACGCTAAACAGCACTTTAGAATAGAACAGGAGAAACACCTGCAGGTGAAACAGGCATATAATTTATTCAAGAAGAATTGAATTATCTCCTAAGGAATTAACTATAAATTAGCTTCCTTAGTGAGTGGGGAAATTTCCTGGGCTCTTAAATGATGCCAGAGTGCCTCAATATTTCACTCTGTGCAAAAAAAATCAAAGATCAAAAATGGCTGTCTCAAAAATGTCAGGCACAGAAGAAAGTACAGCTCTTGAATGACCAAGCTCTCATCTAACAATAACCATGGTCTGCTAAAATTTTAACTGTATTTTAACTAAAAATAAAGCTAACTTAATCACTTAAACTATTCATGCTTACCTTTAGGAAAAAATGGGAGCATGTAACAAAGTTACTGTGAGGTGATATAGGCATTTAGTGTTAACAGTGAAAGAAAAAAATGTTAAAATTATCCAGAAACTATTTCTTCTAATTTCAAATGCTCCAATACTCTTCTCCTGGGGGAAATGGGAGGGTGTAACTGCTTCTTAACATTTTGCCAATAGTGTTCAAATACAATCCTACCTGGTATATAATAATTAACAGTAAAAGGAATGTTCTCATCCCTGTTCCCAACTT